GGTATGTTATGAAAGATAGAGAAGGACAATTCTAGGCCAGCCCCTGTGGCCTAGTGGTTAAGTTTGGCGCCCTCCGCTTTGGTGGCACAGACCTACACCACTCGTCTGTCAGTGGCCATACTGTGGTGGCAGCTCACATGCAAAAAAGAGGAAGATTGGCAGTGGATGTTAGCTCAGGGCAAATCTTCCTCGGGGGGACAAAAAAGAATGTAAAAAGAAGGACAATTCTAATAATAAAAGGGTTAATTCATCAAGAAGAGATAATAAGCCTGAATGAGTATGATCCTAGTAACAAAGCTTCAAAACAAATACAGCCAATAAACCAGACAGAACTGAAAAGAGAAATTCTAAAGACATAACAGTACCACTCTTGAGTGTGCTTTTTTCCATTTTTGCATTCCTCCCAGGAAGTTAATTCCTGAGGGCAAAGATCATGTATTTTCCTTCTTACATCTTCAAAAGTGCCTTGGATAGTGTTAGATGACAGAACAAGGATTTTTAAGAGATCTGAAATTTTTTTGCAGAGAAATTTGACAGTGGGTATTAAGAATCTTTTTTGTTCTTCAAAAAGAACAAAATCTTCAAAGAAAATGTTCATTTTCTTTGACTCATTAATTCAAGTCCTAGGACTCCCTCCAAAGGAATCCTTCCAAAAAAGACAGTTTTATGCTTAAACAGTTCACTGAGGGGCTGGTCTGGTGGCGTAGTGATTGGGTTTGCACACTCTGCTTCAGCACCCCGGGATTCATGGGTACAGATCCCGAGCACGGACCTACACACAGCTTATCAAGCCATGCTGCGGTGGCATCCCATATATAAAGTGGAGGAAGATTGGCACAGATGTTAGCTCAGCAACAGTCTTCCTCAAGCAAAAAGAGGAGGATTGGCAATAGATGTTAGCTCAGGGCCAATCTTCCTCACCAAAGGAAAAAAAAAAAGTTCACTGAAATGTTGCATGTAGCAGTGAAAAAATTAGGAATAGCCTAAGTGTTCACCTAGAGGATTGGATGTATAAACTGTCTGGTAACATGCAATAGACTAACATGAGATTTGAGAAAATGTTTACAAGATAATGTTAAAATTTTTTAAAAGGAGGATACAAAATTGAATACAATATGGTATCAATTATAAAAATACACCTATGCACAGAGAAAAATGTAGGAAGAAATAAAACAGAATGTTAACAGTGTTTGCCTTTAGGCAAGGAAGGAATCATGGGTTACTATAATTGTATTCTTTATATTTTTCCCAGTATTGGACATCAAATATGTAATTGGTTTGATAATTTTTTAAAAATCTAATAAATGGGAAAAATTAAAATATCTGAACAGGCTGAATCTGACATGATTAAATGTAATAGGCCTTCATTTAAGCTCTGCATCTTTGTTTTTAAAAAAATTGCAGGGATGATGTGACTTAGCAGAAGCAAAGTCAAGAATTTTTGTTTATTGTTAACCCTAAATAAGTAAACTGAACAGTATAGATCCTTAGAATAAATGCACATATTAGTTTCATTAGGAGACACATGGCAAGTGCAAGAGAGGTGATGGATCCTCTTTGTTCTGTGTTACCCAGCCCAGAGCTGGAGTATTGATCTGTGTGGCTCACAGTGTGAGAAAGATCCAAATATATTGGTGTGTGTCCAGCATTGGTGACCAGGATGTGGAGAGACCTAGAAATTTTGGTGTGCAAAATAGCTGAGGGGCTGGAAAGAGTTGCTGAGGAGGAAAGGAGCAGATAAACGGAAAGCATGATGGGAGTATTCAGGGTTTTGAAGGGCTCAAGGCAGAGAGGTTGGTTATATTCTGTGTGGCCCTGTATTGTATTCTGTGAGATTCTACATTGCTAACAAGTTCCCAGGTGGTTGATGCTGTTGGCCCAAGGACCACACTTTGAGTAGCAAGGCCATACAATATGTCCCTTTATCAGGAGGGCAGAGAGCAGAAGTGGAACGACAAGGGGAAGCTACAGAAGACAAATTCAGCTGTGCCTAAGGAAAAAGCTGTACAAGGCGAAAAGTCTGCCTTATAAAGAATGAGTCATCCATGTCTACAGGTATGCAAGCAGAGTCTGCATCGGGGATGTGAAGGAAGAGAAAGGGAAAGAAAGGGGAGAACAGGAGAGTGAGGCAAACAGAAAAAGAGAGAAAGGAAGAAAAAAGAAAGGCAGAGAGGCAGAAGGAACAGTTTTGAGAGCTCGTCCTGAGTTACTGCAAACGCACGGGGATCTGACCTGCCTTTTCAGGTCTCGTTAGCGATACCCTGAAACGCCAGCAGAGGGAGATGTTACCCCAGGAAAGGAGGACTCCACCTCCCCCATTTCTTACCCTCAAAAAAGTTGTTCTCTGAAAGATGATGCTGAGAGAACTCCAGAAGCCTCTGAATTTCCAAAGTAAATGTATAAACAAACATCTTATGGTAAATTCTGCCGGTGATTACCCCTGATTCTAATTTAGAAGCGGTCTAAAGCACTGAAGTGCATGCAAATCACCTAGGGATCTTGTTAAAGTGCACATTCTGATTCAGAAGATTTGATAGGGTTGGAGATTCTGCATTGCTAACGAGTTCCCAGGTGATGTTGATGCTGTTGGCCAGAGGACCACACTTTGAGTAGCCGGGCCATGCAATATGTCCCTTTCTCAGGAGGGGCCAGGGCACTTCTCACAAGGACTGCAATTGACTTTTTGTAGCCAGTGCTGTCTTCTTTGTCACTGTTAACTTTGATTTAACTGTTCAGGTTTTCATTCAACCAATCACCATTTATAGAGAATCTACTATGTGTAAACCCAATGCCAGTTAATTTTAACCAACATTACTAAGCATTTTTGAGTTCTAGTCCCTATGCTAGGCTCCTAGGATTAGTGATGATTCAGACTCATTCCTTGTCCTGACATTCATTCATTCAACATTTACTGAGAGTCTGCTCTGTGCCAGACAATGCTCCAGGAGCTGGAGATACCACAATGAACAAAACAGCATAAATCTGTGTATTGTTAACCCCAAATAAGCCTCTCTCCAATGGGGAGACAGGCAAATAATTAGACAGTTAAGTTCTCTTCTTTCCTTCTTTTTCCCATCTCAAACAATTCAATCCAAAAGCCAGTCCATATCTAGCATACAGATCTTGATTTCTAAATACCATTCCCTACCAAAAGAAACCAGAACTCCTTGAGGGAATAGCTGATTTCAGGGCTGTGGCAGAGAAAGTAGAAGATGGACTGAAATATCTTGTGCCAGAGAGTAAGGATATGTTCAAAAAAATTATGTGGATATATTAAAAAGACACAGAAGCCAGCTTGATGGGGTTCCTGCTGGCCCAATCTGGGAAAATTTGAACATAAAAACAATTGATGATAGTAGCAGATTAAAATAGGAATCCACAAGTCTATACTGATATAAATACATGAATAAATTGAACGTGTGATGAACAGGATATTCACATAGTCTCTAAGTACCTGCCCACAAAATGATTATTAATTACAACGTGAAAAGAATAACTTTACAGTGAAGAAGTCTGTTGATACCATTGAATTAAGTGATCAAAGTTAATATCATCAGTAATGGGACAAACTGAAATTGTGTGCCACCTGGTAGGATACAGTGAGAAAAACACATCATATCTGTGATATTCCTGCCAAATATGCATAATCAGAAACTAATCACTTGGGAACATCAGACAAACTCAGAGTGAGGGACATTCTACAAAATAACAGGCCTGCAATCTTTAAACTTGTCAGTTATGAAAGTCAAAGAGGGAGAAACTGTCCTGGCTTGAAGGAGACTAAAGAGCTATGACAGCTAAATGCAACGTGTGATTCTGGACAGGATCTTTTTGCTATAAAAACATTATGAGAACAGTTGGTGGACATAAATAGGGTATGATGATTATATAGTAGTAATGTATCAATGTTAATTTCCTAATTCTGATGGCTGTACTGTAGTTATTTAGCAAATGTCTCTGTAGGAAATACTGCTATGATTTTCAGGGGTGATGGGACATTAGGTTGACAACTTACTCTAAATAGTTCTGGGCAAAAATAGGTCTGGGCAAAAAAAAAACTTGCAATGTTTCTGTAAGTTTGAGACTGGGTAACTAAAAGCATGACAAATGCTCAGGCAAGGGCGAGCTCACTTGTTAGGGCTGTTGGGAGCATCCTGGGTGCGTCTCTGTATGGGGAGAGGAGATGAGTCTTGAAAGAAGGCCATTTGGACAACAGAGGCGAGTCAACCCGAGTTCTTGCCCTTCAACAGTACCCTCCGTTGACAAGGCAAAAGGGGCTCCGGCCTGGGTCCATGCTTAAACGCCCTGCTTTGGCCCTCTTGCTCTGGTAACCCCCATGCGGAGGGAGGGTTGAATTCGCAGGGACGGAGAGACATGCCCATCAGATCTGTGTCCTGCTTTCTGGTTCACCCAAGAATCCCCTGCCAAAAAGCTCATGAGCCTGCTGAGCCTCTCCCCCTGGTCCATCCTCGCAGGGTTGATTGGGCCACCGGTGTATGCACGTCTAGGACCGAGGAGTGAGCACGCAGGGCTGTGGAGGAAGCTTGGACTTAAGGACTGGATGCCCACGTGTGTGAACGGAGGCCCTAGAGATGGCCAGCCGCTCAAGTAGTTCCTGTCAGAGAGTTCTAAATTTGAACTTGGCCTTTCAGGTCTTGGTAAGATATATTTGCCAGAGTAGGAGAGATAGACCACACTCTAGACCGTGCTGTGCAGGTAGCAGCCTCAATGACGGTTAGGTCCGAACTGCAGGACTTCTGGGCCCCTGGGAACCTAGTCCCACACAACTTAACGCGCAGGCGGAGTGCTGGGCCAATCAGCTGCTGCGCCTCGGAGAGGCCGATCGGGGTTGTGGGGGACGGGGCACCGCGTGGACGCACACTAAGCCTCTCCAGGCGGAGGGGCGGGGCCAAGAATGGGCGAGGAGGCGCGCCTCAGAGCTCAGAGGAAGTGCGCGGGGGGCGGAGCCTGGCGAGGCCACGCCTCTTCCGGCCCGCCGCGCTGCCTCCGTGTGAGGGAAAACGCGCGCTGGCCTGCGGCCGTGGTGGCTCCCGGACTTGGCGGCGGGCAGGCGAGATGGCGGTGGAGGTGTTGCCGAGTGCGAAGTGGCTGTACTGTGGGGAGCCCGACGAGAGCCAGAGAGCTGTACTGGGTAAGGACCGCGGAGCTGGAGCAGTACCCAGTAATTCCCTCCCCGCCGTCTTGATACCTCCTTAGTCCTCCCGCCCCCCGTTGGGCCCCTTTCTCGGCCAGGCCAGGACCCCTCCTAGTGTCCTCCACGACTTGGGGCTCGGCCAGGGCTCCTCTATCATCCCACCGTCTTTCTGTCACCACCTCCCAGCAGGATAAAGACATCTCAGTCTCCCCCTCCCCAGGGGTGTAGCCAGGATCCTGAATCCCCTCACACCCGCCAGGTCTCACACCTTCTGCGTTTCCTTCTCTCCACAGGGCAGGGATTCCCTCTGTCTCTCTAGGTCTGCACGAGGCCTCAGTCACCCCCATTCCCCTGGTTGTTCCTGCCGGTCTCAGCCCCTGGCCAGGATGCCCCTCGCTTCCCTGTTCCCTCATCCCAAGTGGACCAGGACCTCCTTCATCCCCCGTTAGGTCAGGCCCTGGGCTTCCTTGCCATCATCATTCCTCTCCAGTCACTCCCTCCCAACGAGAGTCCAGTTCCTCCCACCATACATTCTGGGTCCTTCTGCTCCCCTCTCATTCTTGGGCTGCAATCTTACAGTCCAGTTCTCCAATGGGAAGCTGCAGAATCCAGGCAACATGCGCTTTACCTTGTACAAGAGCAACGACTCCACAAACCCCAGGAAGAGGAGTCAGCGGATCCTGGTGAGTGCTGCGGTGGCCGGATGCCTCTGCTCCGCAGGCCTCAGGAGGCCCCTTGGGTGTGGGTGGATGTGGGAGGGAGTGAGAGGAGAGAAGGGGGCTAGCAAATGAGCCCTTGAAGAACTCTCCTGAAACCCCGGCAGGTTGGGGTGTGGGGACAGGCTGCGTTTAGTTTTGTACTTTTGGTCAAGTGATGGCTTTCGTTCTTTTGTTCATGCAGCGAGCGTTTGTTGAGCGCCGGCTGTGCTCTGTGCTGGAAGCTGCTAGGGAAACAGCTCAGTCAGCCCTGGCCCCACTCTGAGGCGCTTGTACTCCAGAGCAGGGTTTCTCAACCTCACCACTGTTGGCGTTTTGACCCAGAGGATTCTCTGTTGTGGGGGCAGTCCTGGGCATCACGGGATGTTTAGCAGCTTTCTTGGCCTCTGCCCACTAGGTACCAGTAGCACCTAGTTGTGACAACCAGAATGTCAGACATTTCCAGATGTCCCCAGCAGGGGAATTTCTTTGGGTTAAAAAACCACTGCTTTAGAGAGGTGAGAAGTGGATGCGAGGGACACTCATACAAGTAGACAAAGCTCAGGGCCTGAGAGAGGGAGAGTACAGGGCAGGGTGAGCAGAGAAGTCTCTGCTTGCCAGAATGCCTTCCTGGGGGAGGGTGCATTAGAGCTGAGCCCTGAAGGATGGAGGACGGTTTGATAGCTGAGGTTTAGTATTCCAGGTGAGGAGGATAGCAAGGACAGACATAGGGAAGCAAGAAAGCTTGGCTCTAATTGAGGAGTGAAGCAGCCCTTCCATCGTCCTGAGAGCATATAAGGAGCAGTCATGGGAGAGGTGGGCAAAGGGGTTCAAGAAGGGCTTGGAGAGGCCCGGCCCCATGGCTGACTGGTTAAAGTTCTGTGCGCTCTGCTTTGGCGGCCTGGGTTTGCGGATCCTGGGCATGGACGTACTCCACTCACCAGCCATGCTGTGGCGGTGTCCCATGTACAGAATAGAGGAAGATTGGCGCAGATGTTAGCTCAGGGCGAATCTTCCTCCGGGAAAAAAAAAGAAAAGAAGGGCTTGGATTTTGGGCCCAGGAGGTTGCCTGCAGAATCATTTTGTTGCATACCTGTAAGTTCTGGGAGCCCAGGGCCTTGCTCCCAAGTCCTGTGGTGCAGCTCCCCCAAGAACTTTTCAAACCAGCTAGAAGCCAGCACTATCTGGAGCTTGCTTTTCAAAAGTCCTCTTGCCTTTCCCCCAGGGACACCCCAGATTCACTTAGAGATAGTGGGGCTGAGTTGTCTCCCAGAGGCTATTTAGTTCTAATCCACTGTGGTTTGAATCCTAAAGCTTTTGCGTATGTGGAAAAGGGAGACAAGATGCTTAATGCCTTTTTTTTTTCTTTTGTGAGGAAGATTAGCTCTGAGCTAACAGGCTGTCGCCAATCCTCCTCTTTTTGCTGAGGAAGATTGGCCCTGGGCTAACATCTGTGTCCATCTTCCTCTACTTTATATAGGACACCACCACAGCATGGCTTGACCAGCGGTGCGTCATGCGCGCCAGGGATCCGAACCTGCAAACCGTGGGCCAAAGGGGAATGCGTGCACTGAACCGCTGCACCACCGGGCCGGCCACCTTAATGCCTTTTAACATTGGTTGTAATGGAGCTTTTCCCCCTCTGCATTTTAGGCAGCTGAAACAGACAGACTTTCCTATGTGGGAAACAATTTTGGGACTGGAGCCCTCAAATGCAACACTCTGTGCAGGTAGGGACAGGGAGAAAAGACAATGGGAAGGGGAGGGTAGTGGTGGTGGCCCTGGCATTGCTGTTCTGTCTTTATTTAAGGGCAGTGGGGGACATCTAGAGAGGTTTACCAAGTCCGCCTGTTCCCAGACCCAGGGCCCCTCACACCAGCATGTAGACATTCCTGAAAAGGAAGAATGACTTACATTTGTTGAATTTCCTAAAAACCGCATTCATTTGTAATGTTCTCTCTCTCTCTCTCTTTTTTTTTTTTGGTGAGGAAGATTAGCCCTAAGCTAACATCTGTTGCCAATCTTCCTCTTTTGCTTGAGGAAGATTGTCCCTGGGCTAACATCTATGCCCATCTTCCTCTGCTTTATATGTGGGATGCCGCCACAGCATGGCTTGATGAGCGGTGCTTAGGTCCGTGCCTGGGATCCGAACCAGCGAACCCTGGGCCACTGAAGCGGAGCACGCGAACTTAACCACTGTGTCCCTGGGCCAGCCTCTCTCTTTTTTTAGATTAAAAAAAAAATTGAGATATAATTGACATATAGCATTATACTAATAGAACCTCATGATTCAATATATGTTTATATCGCGAAATGGTCACCACAATAAGTCTAGTTAACATCTATCACCACATAGTTACAATTTTTTTTTCTTATTATGAGAACTTTTAAGATTTACTCTCTTAGGAACTTTCAAAAATATACAGTACAGTATTGTTAGCTGTAGTCACCATGCTGTACGTTATATCCCCAGATCTTCTTTATTTTATAGCTGGAAGTTTGTACCTTTTGACCACTTTCATTAATTTTGACCACCTCATTAATTTGTAATATTCTTTATTTGTAACTATCTTGTTCCCAAAAGGCACCTGTCTCCACTAATTTGGAATGTGTGATCAATAGGTCAAAGCTTACCAGAAGTTTGCCCTGGAACTAACTACAAGAAAAGGATTTGGTAGTGTCCAAGGCACCACCAGGGTTTCTGTCCAGCTCTGCTGCTGATTGACTGACTTTGGGCAACTCTGCCCTTCACTGACCCCCTGGTCTTCCCCTTGGTACAATGAAGATTGTGCAGTCTGAACAGTCCATAAAGGTCAGGGGCTGGCATAATGCACACAGTGTCCCTGCGATGGTATCCAACAGTGAACCACAAACAAGGCCCTTTCAGAGCCCCCACTGGACCACCCTGATAGGAGTCAGATTCGTGTGCTTATGCTTAAAACTATGAACACCACTTCAACCTGTTACAAAGACTCTCTAGTTCAGGCTGGTCTTCTTGCCATAATTACCAAGGTTTTACTTGTCTTTGCCGCCATAAAATTTACGTGTGCAGTAAATTCTAGTGTAATTCTTAATTCTTATATCCCAAGAGGGTTTCCCACTAGAGCAGTGAGCCCACATGTGATCGGCTACCAGATCACCTGGTAGCTTTTTTTTTTTCCCAGAACCGCCTCATGAACGCTCCTCTCCCCCCTTCCCTCCCTTCCCTCCTTTCTCTCACCATTCAGAGAATTGCTGCTATAGGGGATTATTGTTACTCATGAGCAAGTGATGCATTCCTCAGGTGTATTGGGGCAGAAAGAAGGTTGGGAACTTTTAAGCAGGAAAAAGGAAGTTGTATAAACAATACTTTTTGAATAATCCGTTATCACTGGTATTATTTCTTCTTTATTCAGGCACTTTGTGGGAATTTTGAATAAGACCTCTGGCCAAATGGAAGTGTATGATGCTGAATTGTTCAACATGCAGCCACTGTTTTCAGGTAGGTCCCAGTCATGAAGGCTCACAGAAACACTGCATATTAGGTTTACTGGATGAGTTGTTTTGAATTTTTGATTTGTAAAACACATTTTGTAATTTCTTTTTTTTTTTTTTTTGAGGAAGATTGGCCCTGTGCTAACATCTGTTGCCAAGCTTCCTCTTTTTCTTCTTTCTCCCCAAAGCCCCAGTACATAGTTGTGTATCATAGTTGTAGAGTTGTAGCTCTTCTGTGTGGGACGCTGCCTCAGGGTGGCTTGATGAGCCGTGAGTACGTCTGTGCCCGGGATTTGAACCAGTGAACCCCAGGCCACCAAAGTGGAAGGCGGGAACTCAACCGCTATGCCACTGGGCTGGCCCTATAATTATTTTTAAAAGGGCGCCTTTATGCCAGGGTTTTTTCTGTTTCTTTTTTGTTCATTTTAAAAAGTTTTAGGAGTGTTTTTACTCAGCAGATATTTATTGATGAGCTGCTATGCTCCAGGCACAAGTTAGGGGCTGTGGACTTGAGCCCAGTAGACTTGAGATCAGTAACTAATCTTAGGTAAAGCAAGTTGAGCAATGATGAGAATGATATTCTTTTCCATGTTTCTTAATTCTTAACTTTTCTAGTTGGGGTAGAGATTTTAGAATCTCTGGTAGGTGATGGAAGTTGCTTACAGGTTGGACAGGAACTTGCATGTTGAGAAAAAGTCTCTATACTTTCTAATTTGGGAGGAGATCCATTTCTTCCCCAATCCAGTGGGAGCAGTTACATTTCTCTGCTTTGGCATCTTAGAATGCTCAGCGCTAGAGTGGGATCTTCCAGAATGATCGATAAGAGGGTCAGACTCAAGAGACTCCTGTTCCCTAAATCTTAAATACTGAGAACCATGGTGGGGGAGGGTGTCCGATAAGGAAGAATCGTTAGGATCATGGTGAATCTACCTGATTCCTTCAGAGGCGTTAGTTCTAACTTTATTCCCTCAAAGCAGTGGTCTCCGCCCTTTTGAGAATCTGATAAGGACCTGGATCTACTTCCCAGAAACATACATATGTATATAAATAAATGTGAGATTTTGCATATAATTTTAAAGGGATCTTGGGTCCCAAAGCCCATCTGTGAATTTCCTAGGGGTCCATAGCATCTAGGTTAAGAATTCCCTGCTTTGTGAACAAATATAACTACATTTAAATTATCCTCCAAATGCTCTTCTAACTTAGAAGGAGGCAAAGAAAATTGTTCATTAATTTCTTGATTAAACAAATTTTTATGTAAAAAATTTGTAAATATTGGTTTATTCTAGCCAGCGTATATGTTTATACACACACGCGCACACACACCATTTATTGGGTCCTTGCTATGTGTTAGGCACTGTTCTAAGCACTTGCAATGCACTGCATTATTTACGTCTCGTAACAACCCTCTGGGGCAGGTATTGTTATTCCTTGAAGTTAAGTGACTTGGGCAGGGACATAACTGCTGACACAGATCTAAGAGCTGGAGTTCAGCTCAGTGAGGTCCCTCCAGAGCTTGTGCTCTGTCCACTAGATCCTACTGCCCCTTATATGAGCGCTTTGTGGGACTTTACAGAGCTTCCTGTAAGTAACACACCTCACGTGTGTGCCTGCCTTTAGGTCTTTTACAAGGAGGGCAAGACTATTTACTAGAAAAAGCTGAGGCCCTGGTTTCTAATCCCATCTCTGCTGCTGCCTGGTAACTGACCTGGGGCAAGTCATTTCATCTGGAGGCCTCATTTTTCCTTATTTGTAAAATGAAGTGGTTGGGCCAGATGACCCCTTCATTTGACTCTTTAATTTATTCTCCAGATTCTCTAACTGTGTACTAAAGCAGCATACTAATGTTCACTCATGTTAAGCTCTAGGAAGTCCTGTAATTGAGAAAGCTGTTATTCTTAGATTAACTGTTAAACAAATATTAAACACTATTACTATCTGTTGGCTTTTTTTCTCTCTGTTTTTGTTTGTTTTGTGTTTTGATAGATGAATCAATTGAGAGTGAAGTGACATTAGAGAGTCAGACCAAAACTTTTAGAGAAAAGGTAAGTGTGACAACTAAGATGTAGGACCTTAAGCCACTTCCTTCTAGACCTTGGGTTTCCATCAGGAAGATGAGCTGGTTGAACACAGGGATTCCCCCAGCAGCTCCCAGCTCATTCAGTCTGTGGTTCTCTGGACAGTGTCTACCTGCAGAGGCCTCCTTGGCCTCACAGAGAGCAGTTCTGCCATCTGGGACAGCTGTACACAGTTCTGTGCCAGTGTTTGGAACAAGTTCCCTGGGCCGACATAGGTATACCATAACACTTGTTTTTAGAATTTAATCCGAGTTTCAGAAAATATTGGTTGCAGCCTGGAAGTTTTCACATTAAAACAAGGTAAACTTTAGGATTTTCAATGTAGAAAGTGCCTACAAAGCTCATCTCACCCCAGGGTGGCAAATTGATTGAATCTTCAGTGCTGCCTGGAACACTATATGGAGAAGGAGTGTGAGGCTATCTTCAGGCTCAGAGGGAAAGAGAGGGTGATCTATTAGGAATGTCTGTTATGGGCCGGCCCCGTGGCTTAGCGGTTAAGTGTGTGCACTCTGCTACTGGCAGCCCAGGTTCGGATCCTGGGCGCGCACCGACACACCACTTCTCCGGCCATGCTGAGGCCGCGTCCCACATACAGCAACTAGAAGGATGTGCAACTATGACATACAACTATCTACTGGGGCTTTGGGGGAAAAAAAAAGGAGGAGCATTGGCAATAGATGTTAGCTCAGAGCCAGTGTTCCTCAGCAAAAAGAGGAGGATTAGCAATGGATGTTAGCTCAGGGCTGATCTTCCTCACAAAAAAATAAATAAATAAATAAAACTGTTTAAACAAAAAAGGAATGTCTATTATGGCTATAGGATTGGAAAAAGGTAAGCTGTGTGCCACAGATTTAGTAACCCTAATTCTAGTCAAGTCTTTTCATTTTACAGATGGAATCACTGTTGTTTTGTAAATAGCGCATTACGGTTTACGAAGCAGGTACTTCAGATCTGTTAATATTGTTTGATTCTTACAACAAGCCTATGAGGTAGATAGGTATGATTTAGCCCAATTTGCAGGTGAGGTAATGATGGCTCAGAGAGGCTGAGAGTTTCCCGATAGTCACACTGCTAGGAGTAGCAGTGTCCAGGCTGTCCCCGGTAACCAAATTTGTCTCTTGCACAGATGGATTCTTGCATTGAAGCTTTTGGTACCACCAAACAGAAGCGGGCTCTGAACTCCAGGAGAATGAACAGAGTTGGCAATGAATCTTTGAATCGTGCAGTAGCTAAAGCCGCAGAGAATATTATTGATACAAAGGGTGTGACTGGTAAGGAGCTGGAACTTGGGGTAAGAGTCTGCTCATAGAGATAGCTTTCTCTTCCCTTGAGATCTTTTACCTGCCCACAGATGGAAATGATGGGAGTTAGGGATGTATTCCTTCCTGCTTCTTGCTGAGGGCCTTCTCAGGAACAGACTCTGGAAGTAGTGGGAAGCATCTGACATGGCCCTGCCTTCCGTGAGCCCACAATCAAGTAGAGGAGCCAGGCGTGGGAAGGGATGTGTGCACACCGCGTCCTTGGTGGCAGTGTTACAGCCTGCAGGGCACAGGGGAGGGGGAGGCCTCAGGTCTCTGAGTCACGGGGAGATTTTGGTCAACAAGGCTGGTGGATGATGATGAACTGAGCCTCTAGAGACAGTTTCACTTGGGGGTCAGTGTATCTTTTTCTGTTCCTAAATTCCTTGGCAGCTTGAGTATTTAATTAGGTTATTTAAAAATGAATTTATTGTTCAAATGCATTATAAGAACGTAAGAAGAAGGTTATACAAGAGCAATTTATCTATTAAAATGGAATTTTAGTAATTATTAGAAAATTTTTCCATACCCTATGATTATATAGATATTTTCTTTTGTTTTCTTTCAATACTTTCACAATTTTACTTTTTTGTGTGTGTGTGAGAGAAAGATCAGCCCTGAGCTAATATCCAATGGCAATCCTCTTTTTTTTTGCTGAGGAAGATTGGCCCTGAGCTAACATCCGTGCCTATCTTCCTCTACTTTATATGGGATGCCGCCACAGCATGGCTTGACAAGCGGTGCATCAGTGCGTGCCTGGGACCCGAACCTGCGAACCCCAGGCCACTGAAGTGGAGCGCGCACACTTAACCACTTGTGCTACTGGGCTGGCCCCACAATTTTACTTTTTACATTTAAATATTAACTCCGTGAAGATTGTTTTTGGCTTATGGTGCAGGCCTAATTTTACATTTTCCAAATGATTGGCCAGTTGTCCCCAACTCCATCCTTTCCTGTTTTAAAAAATGATTTAAAGAGTCATCTCTATAATTTTACCACATTCTTGGTTGTGCTCGATTCCATTGTTCTGGCTGCCTATTCCTGTGGCAGCACCAGGCTTTTTTGATTCTAGTAGCCTCATCATCCAGTTTGTTGTCTGATAGGGCAAATTCATCCTCCTTCATCCTTATGTTTCACAAATGTATTGGTCATTGTAGCATGCTTTTTCTGCCAGGAGAATCTAAAGAATTATTTTGTAAAGTTCCCTCAAAATCCAATTGAGATTAATATGGGGAGAATCAACATAGTTACAATAGTATGTTTTTTCACCCAGGAACATAGAAATATATATCTCCATTTATTCAAAGACATACTTTAATGTCTAAGTAAATTTTTGAATTTTTTTGTTCAGCTTACCTTCAGCTATTAAGGGATATTTAAAAAGAAAAATAATTTACTCATTTTCCCATCGTTCTACTAGACCACCTGTTATAATTTTCCTTTCTGTCCTTACCTATATGCATACTTAATTCTTACATGGTTATTCCTGTGTGGTAGTTACAGTTTAAGAATTTGATTTTTTTTTTTTCACTCACAATATGTGGAGAAGTTTTCTGGAAGTTAAGCCATTAAAGGCTATTTTGAATATTCCTCACTTTTAGCTTATCTCATATTGATTTGTAAATATTTATCAGCACACTTATCTTTCCCAACTATACTGCAAGTTACTTGGGGGACCACACTGTGTCTGCCTTCTCTAATGAGTGGTTAGGTTTGTGTCAAGAGTGGACATCATAGTCCTGGAGCTGTCAGCCTGACAGGGAGGTCAGGCCACATTGGTGGAAGCATTCAGATAAGGGGTTTCTGGACCGATTATGATCTCGAGCGCGTAGGTTGCAAAGATTGTTGGGGAACCTAAAGCCAAACAAAGTGACGTCAACACTGACTCTTCCTATCTTGAAAAGCTCTGGTCACTGATGCCATCCACAATGACTTGCAAGATGACTCCCTCTACCTTCCTCCCTGCCACACCGATGCAGCCAAGCCTGAAGACGTGTATAAATTTGAAGACCGTATCCTTCTTGCGGTAGAAACGCTGCCTTATTTCACAAGTTGAGATATGTGTACATGAGTGGCACATCAGAGATATCTCTGAAGGTCCTGGTGGTCCTGTGACGCTCAGAGAAACTACCCCCAGACCGTTACCGTTGCCCCAGCGCTGTTGCTGGGAGGTCAGCCAGGCTTCCTCACTGGCTGAGGGCCCTGCTCCAGCACTGGCCTCTCAGCCCCTGGGATTCAAACCCATTCCTCAGCAAAAGGCCAGGTGCCCACAGCTTAGCCCTGGGTGAGTGGGGTGGGGTGTCACTCTCCATGAATAGTCAAAATGGGACTTTTAAGTTAGCCAGTGCCCAAAGTCTAAGGCAGACTGCTTTTGTAAAAGGAAGGATTGGAGCATAGAATTTCCTTGCTTGTGGATCTTGTCAGATGGAAATACCTGCAGTGGCTTTGTGATAAGAGAAGGCAGAGAAGCCCAGGCAGGGAACAAAGTCCGGGCTGGGGGTCTGAGAACTGAGTCCCTGAGCTCTGCCCAGTGTACTGTGTGATCTTCCCTTCTCTGAGCATCAGTTTTCCCATCTCTAAAATGCAGTTGCTAGGAGATTATTTAGCTAGTTGGGCGTTTCAATTTTGGTCAGTTGTGTTCTTGAGCTGTAACTAGTTCTTTCTCCTGTGGAGTATGAAGCTCTTCAGAGCCCATCTGAAGCTTTCAGGAATGTCACGTCAGAAGAAATACTGAAGATGATAGAAGAGAACAGGTACCTCCACTTGGGCAGATGGAGTGTATGGGGGAGTGAGATTGGGACACAACAGTAGTCAGACATGAAGCGGACCTTTGGGTGGCATCAGTGAGGAGGTATGCTTGTTCAGCATTGAACATGAAGGAGCTAGTGTTTTCTTGAATGTTTGGGCTTTAAGGCCTATTGTCCCAAGGCTGTGGGTGGCACTTAGGGGAGAGAGTTGGCCTCTGAGTGCTGGAATGGTGGCTGGACTGAGGGTGGTGAGGCCTTATAGCTGGGGGCTGGGAGCTGGAGCTGGCCTGTGTCCTCCAATGTTGTGCTGATGCTGATTGTCACCGCGGGGCCATGTGCTGGCCTGGGAGTAGATCCAGCTGCAGTGATGGTTCATCTGTGACAATGTGCTAAGTGAGCTTTTCTAAAGTTAAGTTTATGTATTTTAAATATAGTACATTTTAAATAATTCAGAGCTTATTTCCTCTCCTCTCCCCTTTTTTTGACATTGAAACAGCTTTTCTTTTATGGTGATGGTGGGAATTTTTTGCTTTTGAGTTTTTTCTTTTTTTTTTGGTGAGGAAGCATCGCCCTGAGCTAACATCTGTTGCCGAGCTTCCTCTTTTTTTTTGCTCGAGGAAGATTAGCCCTGAGCTAACATCTGTGCCAGTCTTTCTCTATTTTGTATGTGTGTCACCGCCTCAGCTTGGCTACTGATGAGTGGTGTAGGTCTGCACCTGGGGTCCGAGCCTGCGAACCCAGGCCGCTGAAGCAGAGCATGCTGAACTTAACCACTATGCCATGGGGCCAGCCCCAAGTTTTTTCTTTTAATAATTTCATCTTGAGAAAATAAAAGGTTGTTGACCCTAGGTTGGTTCCCCCCATTTTTTTTTTTTTTTTTTTTTGGTGAGGAAGATTGGCCCTGAGCTAACATCTACCGATCCTCCTCTTTTTGCTAAGGAAGACTGGCCCTGGGCTAACATCTATGCCCATCCTCCTCCACTTTATACGATGCCGCCACAGCATGGCTTGACAGGCAGTGCGTTGGTGCGCGCCCAGGATCCGAACCGTGAACCCTGGGCCGCGGCAGCAGAGTGCGCACGCTTAACTGCTTGTGCCACCGGGCCAGCCCCTGGTTTCCCCCAGTTTTGTTTGGAAATTTTATTGGTCAGTGAGATGTAAAGCCTTGGAAGATACTTTTTTAAAAAATTTTCTCGGGGCTGGCCCTGCGGCTTAGCGGTTAAGTACTCGCGCTCTGCTACTGGCGGCCCGGGTTCAGATCTGGGCGCGCACTGACGCACCGCTTCTCCAGGCATGCTGAGGCCGCGTCCCACATACAGCAACTAGAAGGATGTGCAACTGTGACATACAACTATCTACTGGGGCTTTGGGGGAGAAAAAAGGAGGAGGATTGGCAATAGATGTTAGCTCAGAGCCGGTCTTCCTCAGCAAAAAGAGGAGGATTAGTATGGATGTTAGCTCAGGGCTGATCTTCCTCACACACACACACAAAAAATTTTCTCCCCAAAGATCCATTTCCAAAAAAGAGCTCATTCCTGGTTCTTAGTTGGCTCAGTGTGGTTGTGGCTCAGGGGCAGGTACAGGAATGAGCTCTGGGCTGGGAGTCTGAGAACTGAGTCTCCGAGCTCTGCTTGATGTACTGTGAGATCTTCCCTCTCTGTGCCTCAGTTTTCCTTATCTGTAAAATGAGGCCTCTCTACAAGATGATCCTGAAGAGCCTTTTATCGCTGCAAGTCCAGGATCCTGATAGTGGTAGAACAGCATATAAAAATAATAGCTAACATTGATTGAGCTCTTATATATGCCACGCACTGTTCTAAGCGCTTTACTTGCATTGTCTCATTTAATCCACAAAAAAATCCATAGGAGTGGCCTGGAGTTCCCACGTTCTGATCCCGGGCGCACAACAATGCACTGCTTGTCAAGCTATGTTGTGGCGGCGTCCCGTATAAAGTAGAGGAAGATGGGCACGGATGTTAGCCCAGGGCCAGTCTTCCTCAGCAAAAAGAGGAGGACTGGCATCGGATGTTAGCTCAGGGCTGATCTTCCTCACCAAGAAAAAAAGAAAAAATCCATAGGAGGAGGGTACTATCATTGGCCTCAATTTATAGGTAAAGAAACCAAGGCACAGAGATGTAGAGAAACTTGTCTGAGCCAGTGAATGGCAGAGAGGGGACTCAAATCCAGGCACTCTGACTGAGAGCCTATTCTCCAGACCACTACGTCAGGATTGGGCAAACTATGGCCCGCATGCCACGTATGGGCCGCAGGCCATGTTTGGCCTGCTGCCCATGAATAAAGTTTTATTGGAACACAGCCATGGTCATTCATTTATGTATTATCGATGGCTGCTTTTGCACTACAATGGCAGAGACCATGTCACCCACAATATATAAAATATTTATTGTCTAGCCCTTTACTGCCCCTGTGCTAAACCATGCTCCTCCTGTTATAAGCGGCTGGTGGGACGGCTCTTCCTCAGCTGTTGAGTGTGTATCAGGTGTGAGGAGTGCCTGCTGTTTTCATTGTGAGGGGGTGAATTCATTTCATCGTGAGAGCCGGTCTTACACATTCCTCCATTTCCCTCCCTTGTAGTCACTGCTCCTTTGTCATAGAAGCGCTGAAGTCCTTGCCATCAAATGAGGAGAGCCGAGACCGCCAGGCCCGATGCGTATGGTTTCTGGACACCCTCATCAAATTTCGAGCACAGAAAGTGATTAAGCGGAAAAGTAAGTCCATTATAGACATTTATTTCTAGTTATGTCCAGTGCGGTATTTGTCTATAATTCTTAGACTAGCTCTAGTGAGATAAGAAAATGGATATGCCTGTCCGGGTCTTCATTTTTAACTCTGTAACAGTGAGATTCCTGTTAGTGCTGCTGACCTGCTGAGATGACTCGCCAAGCTCTTTTCCTCGTCTGAAAATGGGGACAGGCTGGGTTACATGATTGCTTGGAGTGAACACTCACTGCTTCTGTTCTGCAGGAGGTGAAGTATAGGATCTAGTCAACTCAAGTGAACATTTTAAGGGACTGTTAGACAAACATCGGTCACACAGGGAGAAAAATTGGCCTTGCTCATGAAGGCTGTGGCAGGTTTGTGTGGTGTCAGCTTATTTCTGACTGGGAGAGGAGAGTCAGTTTCTGCTGTTAATCCATGTCGCCTGTCGCTCAGGCTCTGGGTGGCTGCCACACACTCACACCTACCCAGAGCTGGAAACCCAGCAGGAGACGCCTGTGGTTATAGGCATAAGGTGTATGCAGTCTTGTTACTGTGATTGGGCACCCAAGAGTCTGTACTCATGTTTTTCAGTATTTGCTTAATTCTCTTTTTCACATTCCAGCCTCCCCTCCTCTCCGTTTCCCTAGGCTTTCTCTAAAATCTGTTTTGCTTTTTTTTCTTGGTGAGGAAGATCAGCCCTTAGCTAACATCCATGCTAATCCTTCTCTTTTTTTTTTTTGCTGAGGAAGACCAGCTCTGAGCTAACATCTATTGCCAATCCTCCTCCTTTTTTTTTTTTTCCCCAAAGCCCCAGTAGATAGTTGTATGTCATAGTTGTACATCCTTTTAGCTGCCGTATGTGGGACGTGGCCTCAGCATGGCCGGAGAAGTAGTGTGTTGGTGTGCGCCCAGGATCCAAACCCAGGCCACCAGTAGCGGAGCGCGCGCACTTAACCGCTAAGCCACGGGGCCGGCCCTGTTTTGCTTTCTAACATCTTATGAATCCTGTGTCTTTACGCCTCATTGGAGTCTTTTTTATTTCTTGTTGCCACCCCATCACAGACGTCTCTCGTGCGTGTACGGTCTGCAGGCTGAAGCACACCTGAGCACATTTTTATTTGAAAGTAGCTGCTCTGTTTCATGGGCCCCTGCTTCTCTTGCTACATGGTTCTGTTCATTATGGAGCCCAACTGTTGGCCTCTTCTCCCAGCTCATGGATGAGATGTGGCCTGAGGGTTTTGAAAGAAAATGATCAAACTCAACTTTGTCTTATAGGTGCCCTGGGACCTGGAGTTCCACACGTCATCAACACCAAACTGCTGAAGCACTTTACCTGCTTGACCTACAATAACGGCAGGTCAGGGGCTCGATCTCTGGGGCTTCTGCCTGTAACGGAGAAAGCAGGGTGGGGAGGTGGGAGGGGAGAGAGTGGGGAGTAGGGGCTTGGATGGAATTTCATGTCCAGAGATACAGTGCTAAACAGGGGTCCTGGGGTTAAGTACGTTTAGGGAACACTATATAGTACATACTCTGTCCCCCTGGAAAAGTTCCCATTAAAGGCTCTGGGAAGTCCTGCAACAAAGACTTGTTTCATTTCACACAATTCATTTGAAGAACCCTTCCTAATGTCCCACAGAACAAAGGTGGTGTTGCCGAAAAGGGCAGGCCAGCGTGATGACTTGGGGGAAAGAACCCTATGCAGCACACCTGGGCTTCCTTCCTGCAGTTAGCTTGGAATATGTTTCCTGGTCTGAGTGTGCTTAGAAGAATCGTCAGCAACTGAGTTTGGGATGACTGTTTTCCTGGCAGCCCTGCTGAGCAGGCGGGGACAGACTCCGAGGCTCCTCACCAGTTTGAGGCTCTAACTATGCCTGGGGAAAGTGGAGGCGCGGCCTTCTCTGTCCCCTTGGAGGGGACACTGGGATTGGCCCATTGCTCCACTGTGTGTGAAGGCTCAGGCACCTTGATGGGACAAGGAATGTTGCTCGAATTCCTTTTCCTCTCTCCAAGATGGGAAGATATTGCATGCATATGGGAACAGGCTTGGATGTTTTTATTTTGCTTTTGGAGAAATCATCTTAGAGTTTAATTTTGTCTGCCTTTACTGCCACTGATTTGCAGTTTACGGAACTTAATTTCGGATTCTATGAAGGCAAAGATAACTGCGTATGTGATCATACTTGCCTTGCACATAAACAACTTCCAGATTGACCTGACGATGTTACAGAGGGACTTGAAGCTCAGTGAGAAAAGGTGAGCACAGCAGAATAAAAAGCTCCCTGTAGGGCGCCTTGTGTATTTCTAGTATCACCTTTTGGAAAGCATGATGCACCGTCAAGGGCACTGGGGACGTTTAATATGGGAAAGACTTGGGACTAGAGGATGATTTTCAATGAATGATTGATTCAATGGATGAGCAACCAGACATCACTGAGTGCCTTCTCTGTGCTAGGCACAGTATTAAATCTGTCATAATATCGCAGTGATTTCCCTAAAGAACAGTTGAAGAATCTTGGTTCAGAGAAGTCAGTGACTTTCCCAGGGTCACACAACTAAGAAGGGGAATAGTTGGGCTTTAAACCCCAGCCTTCCCGTAGCATTCTGTCTTTGTATAACCAAGCAGGCTCCCGTCTCTGAATTGCTGTTGCTGGGGAGAGGGATTCTGTATGGTCCTGAGGGGTGGAACCCAGGGGTGGAAGTTATTAGAGAACCCAATTTCAGCTTAGCAAAAAGAACCTTCTCAGAGTCAGATGGAAGGGGCTGCCAAGGGAGGTGTTCAAGGCAAAGTGGGGCCTCTGTTTGGCAGGGATGTTCACATATGGGCTTCTCTGACCAGGCTGGGAGAGTTGGCAGAAATCATCTTTCAGGCACTTTCTAGCCAGAAGGCATTCAGACTGAGTAGAGAGCAGAACTTCCCAGGACCCTGAACTGTGGGGTCTGTTGGCCTTTGTGGGTGAGTTAGGAGCGTCTGACATCCAAGGACCCTGATAATGTCCCAAAAGAGCCATGGAAACACCCTTGTCTGGATTCTTGGAGCAGTCCATGGAGGAATTATTCTGAGGGCTGTCCACAGACGGCATTCTCACAGGCTGTGAGGTTGAAAATAAGAGAGAAACAGATATGTGGAGCCTGTAAAATTCTATCAGAATTCTAGCAAGTGCTCAATCCTTGTTAATAGGAAGTAAACAAATTAATAGGATCTAGATAACCTGGTTTTCCATTACCTATATGGATATTTTCTAATGGCTGCACATTAAAATGGGAGTCTGTCTGATGGCTCTGGGCAGGGGATCTTGTCTGCCTCTCTGCCGGGAGCTTTGCTCCTGGTGGCCGGTTCGGGGATTCCATCTTTGTGGCCTGGAGCATGTGTTTGTGCTGCTCCCCCCGCCAAGCCTCCCTGAGCAGTCACACTGAGGAGACTCTCTCCTTTTGTTGTGTGTTTGTTCCTTAGGATGATCGAGATAGCGAAAGCCATGAGGCTGAAGGTCTCCAAAAGAAGAGTATCTGTGGCAGCCGGCAGGGAGGAGGATCACAAACTGGGCACCCTGTCCATCCCGCTGCCTCCAGCCCAGACCTTGGACCGCCAGTCAAAACGGAGGAGAATCACTTAGAGGTGTGCTTTCCAGACAGAGCATTTTGGCCACATCATAACCACTGCTTCTGTTCATTTCCATTTTTATTTTTAAAGAGAGAGGAAAAAGCCTTGCTTGGTCTGAGTATGAAGCCAGAAGCCAGCATCTCAGTTGTGCTTGTCTTAAGCAGAAACATAAAATGGCAACCATATTGGACATCATCTCCCTCCTTTGGTGTTGCTCTGATTATAAATGTCAGGTAGTTCCTGTGTGGGGATGTGGGAGGGTGGGGCCTGGGGAAGTCGGAATCAAAAGATCTCATAGGCTGAACTCTGAGCCAAATCTAACAGATAGAGGTTAATCAAGAGAATCATGAAGTGCCATGCTCAGGTCTGGAAGGACCAGTGGAGTACATGGTGAGGATACAGCCCAGCAGGGCTGGAAGAGGAGGCTTCAGGTTACCAGTGTGATGGGGTTGCCAAAACAGGCCAATTTAGTTTGAGACTGCTATAACAGAGTGGAGTCAACTCAGAGGAAGTGATTAACCCTGTTGCTCTGCCTGGCTCAGGCCACATTGAGGGCAGGGATGAGCTCTGAAAGCCACGTTTTTGAGGGGGATGAATCAGTCAGAGTTCAGTACAGAAAACAAATTGTTCTAGATATCTTAAGAAGAAAGGAGCTCAATACAAGGGTAAAAAGTTATAAAATTGTTAAAGGGCTACAGGAGTGGGAATCAGGAGCTTGTCACTGGAACTGCTGAGTTCAAAACCATTGCTGGGGATGCCTGCCAGGCATCAGGAAGCCACTTGTGCCCCACAACTGCTTCTTGAATTCGTGAAGCTGGTGACTTGATGCTGGAATGCTGAGTTCTGCCACCCATGCTTTCAGTTCCCACATTTCCACCTCCTTGCTCTTCAGCACAAACAGCGGAAAGATCAAGAAGCTGGCCTCCATCTTGCTTCTTCTATGAGTACATGTATAGGAACCTAATTTGCATCTAGAATCCTAGCAGCAGGGAGTCTTGGAAATAGGTTTCAGCTCTCCAGCCCCTAGATACAGGAGCCTTACCAGAAGGAGATGGGAGTGGATGCTGACTGCCTGCCAACCTTCTGTGCCATGAGGGAGCTGGGGAAGTCAGTGTCCAGAGGGGTGCTGTGAGGAATGGAAATATGACGTGGAGAGACTTAGGTATGTGGTTAACGTGCAGACTCATCTTCAAGGCTCTTCTGAGGCAGTGGGAACAACTGAGGTCTGTGGTGCTCAGTACTGGCGAGCCAGGAGCAGTGAAGGAAGGCAGACAGAGTATAGCTCTCTGAAAATGAGGAAGGGGGAAGTTTGCACAGCAGCTGGGTCATCTGTTAGGGAAGACATGGGAGAAATGAGTCTTGGATGACTCATTTGGGACAGGTGGTCCTTATATTTCTTCAAGCTCTGGGATGCTGTTGTCAGAGCCACTTCTGTGGCAAGGCCATGCCTAAGGTGCACATTTTCCATGCTGTTCTCTGGTTTGTCTCCATTTGTCTCTGATCCTGGGTAGTGGGCATTTGTAGCATACTTGATCTCCCTCCAGCAGAGATGTGAGCAGGAAATCTAAATGCCTCTGTTTTTCTTTATGTAAGCTGTTGTGAAAATCAAGTTCGTGACTGCAGCAGAAAAAGTAATGTCCTGCTGTGTCTCTGGGAAAAGAATTCCTAATGTGCTTATAGATTAGAATGTGTTTCCTGAATACTTTTTAGATTCTGATGGGTTTGACACTTGAGGCTTAATTTCCAGGAAGGATTAGATCACAGCATGTGACTAGGCCTCTGAACAAACTCTGTCCTGGTGGGGAAGCAGCCTGTCTTTAGTCACTTGCACAAAAAGGGGTGGTATTGATAGGGCAGAGTTTAGGACAGCAAATAGATTCTTGTCCTTAGTGACAGCAGGTGTCCCTCACCAAGTGTAGCTGATGCCTTCCCAGAGGTTGACTGAAAAGCAAATTTCTGTGCATCAAGGGGTTTCTGGGTCAAAAGGCTCAAAAGAGGGGCCTTTGTTCAACTTGAACAAGTCTCGTGAGAGAGTACCTAGCACAGTGCCTGCACCTAGGCAGTCAGTGTCTGCTGAAGGAATCACAGTGCGTGAGCTGCACCTTCTTTCCTTGCAGAGCTATAGGAGGTAAACACTTGTATAATCAGGGAATCATACTGTTTTCTGTAGCTCTAAAAAACCATTTATTTACTAATACATTCACAGAGGATACCTTGATCCCACCAAGTTATTTGCCATAATGTCTCCTGATGTCCTTTTTGAAGAAAGGGAGGCTGGGCTAGATGCTCATACCCTTAATAAGATTTGCAGTTTGTGGAATAATCTTAACTTACAGGTGTTGATTAACAGAATGGAGTCTGTTCCCTAGAGGGAAGCTCTTTGGCCCTGACCTGTTGGACACTGTTAAGAGTGATGAGGTCAAAGAAGGTATATTTAACACACTTGCCAAGGACCCAACCCGGAAAGAGCTAATTAGGTAAAATTCTTTAAAGTGTCACCTTTTAAAAACTTCGTTTTGAGGGCCGGCCCTGTGGCTTAGCGGTTAAGTGCGTGCGCTCTGCTGCTGGCGGCCCAGGTTTGGATCCCGGGCGCGCACCGACGCACCACTTCTCCGGCCATGCTGAGGCACGTCCCACATACAGCAACTAGAAGGATGTGCAGCTATGACATACAACTCTCTACTGGGGCTTTGGGGAGAAAAATAAATAAATTAAAAAAATAAAAAATAAAAAAAATAACTTCGTTTTGATACATTGTCATATTTAGAAAATATTTGTAAGAATAGTACAAAGAACTGTATATCCTTTATCCAGATTCTCCAGCTGTTAATGTGTTGTCCCATTTGTTCTTTGCTTTATAAATTTATATATTTCTTTTTGAACCATTTGAGGAAAGCGGCCCACCCTTTTATCTGTAAGTACTTGAGTGTGTATGTCCTGAGAGTAAGGACCCACTCCGTCAGCATAGCGCATTTACCCGCAGCCGGAGTAGAACACTGATACAACACTAGATCTCGCCCCCAGTTCATATTCAGGTTTTGCCAGTCACACCTCTTTGGTCTTATTTACTCTAAAATAGTTCCTCAGTCTTGGACTTTCTTGACCTTGACGTTTTGAAGAGTAAGGTCAGTTATTTTATAGGGTTCCCTCAGTTTGAGTTTGTCTGGAATTTTCGTATAATTAGATTCAGGGTATGCATTTTTGTCAGGAATATCACAAACGTGACGCTGTGTCCCAAGTGCGTCACAGGTGAGGCACATGGTGCTGGCTTGTCCTCTTCTTGCTGATGTTAACTTTTGTTACTTGGTTAAGGCTGTGTTCTCTCCACTGTGATGTTACTATTTTTCTTTTGTGTAATTAATAAGTAATTTGTGGAGGGATACTTTGAGACTCTAAATACCCTGTTCCTCATCAAACTTTCTCCCATGAGTTTTAGTCTCGATTGATGATTCTCGCTGAATTACCAAGGTGGTTGCAAAATGGTGATTTTCTAACTCCCATCATTTCTTATTGGCATTGTATTATAACAGGAAGCTTTCTTTTCTCTCCCATTAAAATTTTTTTGTTCATTTAGTTATCAGTATGGACTCATAGGTTCTTATTTTATTCCATGAACGTTGTTACTGTTATTTTGAATGCTCACATTGTACCACATTTGGCCAATCTGAGTTCCTTCAGGCTAGCTCCTGAATCTCCATCATTTTACGAGTGCTTCCTTAATTTCTGGTACAAGATATTCCAGCCATCTTGTACTTTCCCTCTTCTAGCCCAGGAATCAGCCTTTTATCCAAAGAACGCAGATAGCTGACATGAATGATGGGCCCAAACCAAGATGTGAAATACCATCCTGACGATCAGACAGATGGGGTCTTCAGCTGCACTCAGGCCATAACTGGTTTCCGAGCTGGGGTGACAGTTGTGTTGTGAGTTGCTCAGACTACACCAGGAGGGCCATGTTAGGCCTGACTTCATTTAAAAGAATGCTAGTCACAGTGGATGGGCTCCAGAGCCGCATGGCCATAACTGCACC